AGTGCTGTCCCTATTAACTGTGCAGAGTTACTGTATGACTGTCCTGCCTGCCTTCCTGTGCCCTCCCCAAGGGAAAAGACCTTTTCTCAGTCACAACACCTGATATGATGGGTAGTCGGAAAGAAGATGGGTTGGCTGGATTTTATAAAAATCCCTAATTCTGCAAATTTTTATTTTTATGGTACTTCAGAAAGTACTAATAGTAGAGTTATCAACTGTAACCTTTCTCAATGAGAAAAGAATAAATAAATGTGTGATTTTGTCTTATTTTGGGTAAAGCAGGGGATCACCCCATGTGAGTCATTGTTTAATCTACGATGAGTGTGACTATTCCAAATTTAGTCATTTCCAGGTGAATTTTCAGTTAAATGATTAACCAATAATGCAAGTGCAATTAAAAAGCCAAGCCTTTGTGATGTCTTTTGTGTGCGTGTGTGTGTGTGTGTGTGTGTGTGTGTGTGTGAGAGAGAGAGAGAGAGACGTCTTTCTTATCCAAGCCTAGGTGACATGTTTCCTATTCTTGCTTACATCTACTTTAATTTAAAAGCAGCCTGATCCTCTGTCAGAGGTTTCCCTAGGTCTTTCAGGGCCCAGGGAGGTTTCCCCAGGTCCCAAGGAGGTCCTCTCTGCCTCTCTGCAAGCACTGTGTACCTGCTGGGGCACCTTTCTTTTGGCCTGGGCCCTCCAGACAGCACTTGCCACCTGCGCAGGACTGTGAGGTGTGCCTGTGCCTCGCCCCTCCTCATCTGTGACCTCCAAGGTACAGGACAGGGAACTGATTTCCTACGTAGAAGGCGTATCAGGAAACCACCTATGAAATCAACAGATACAGCACTGGCCTGGTACAGAGCCTGAAACTCCCAGAATGAGAAGACTGAATGACGCAGCTAGGTCAACAGAATAACTTAGCTGCTTCTCATCAGTGTGGAGACAGTAAAAGGTCCCAGGTAGCTGTTTGGAGTTCTGTTTCTACTATCCAGTGGCTGTCCTCCTTGTGATAAAGTAAGAGAGGTGGACAGAGAGTCCTTCTTCCTAAACACAACTAGCGTTACCACTTAGAGAGAGTGTGTTTTGAGCCAGGAACCCGTCCCATTGCTTTACAAACAGAATCTTGCTGACTGTCTGACCAGCACTGAGGTGGGTCTTCTTGGCCCATTTTACAGATGAGGTAATGGAGGCTCAGGAAAGTTAAACAACTTGCCAAACAGCACAGCTACAAGTAATGAAACCAGGTGCAATCTTAGACAGTCTGATGTGGTTCCAGTGGGTCACATGGACCCCACCAGGGAAGAGACCCGGTCATTATTCAGCAGTAAGAACAGGGCCTCACCGTGGGAGGTGCTCTAAACATTGTTGATTGAAAAGGAAGGATTCTGAAAGCGACTGATGTACCTGTTACCCTGTTACCTAAAAGCTCCTTGTCACTACCAGCAACAGATTGTCAAACTCATACTTTCTAAGGAGCCACAAGAACAATAATTATTAGCATGCTTCTATAATTATTATTTGGAAAAACTTCTCTGTTTCAGACTCTTTGTTGAGGGGCAAATAATCCCCCCCCCAATCTTTAGAAGGGTGTTTTGGCTATTTGAGAGGCTGAGGCAAGGATCACTAAGTTTGAAGACAGCTTGGACAATTGAGATCCTGTCTCAGAATAAAAAGGGGTCAGGGATGTAGATCAGTGCTATCTGGGTTTAATCCTCAGCAGAAAGAAAAAAAAAAAGTAGAAATTTTGGCTCAGACAAATTTTTTTTCTGTTTTAATAGGAAATTTACCAGTATCTATACATACACACATGCATATATGAAATATTCTAGTCTACACCATCCCCTACAATATTCCTACCCTGACTGTTCTCCAAATAATAGAAAATGTGAAATGTACTTTGCTTCCTTCCACACATTCCTTTGTACTTTATCTCTTTCCTCAAATGCAGAATGTTTTCTTTGCAACTTTATCTTTCCAGCGACTCAGAGTATTTGTTGTATGACAGGCTCTTTCTCTAATGCAGAGGCTTCCACAAGTCAAGTTTCCTGGTGGCTATTTCTTTAACCAATTTTCTTTCCCTTTCCATTGGTCTGAAATCTCCACATGATTTTGACCTGAGGGGACCTCTCTGCTTTATCCTTTAAATTGAGCACTGGCTGAAGGGAAGGGAATGTTCTTCATTTGCCTGTCATGTTCACACCCAGGATCCCGGGATCTTTTAGGAGACAAGTTCACTTCACCTCTGCTTCATTGCCAAATTCAGAACTTTATCCAGCTAGATCAAGGACTGCTACAATTAGAGGAATTTTTATAGTAACTGCAAAACCGTAGATCAGAATCACAATAGTAATGCCCAGGGTGGTGGCACACACCTATAATCCCAGCACTCTGGGAGGTTGACCAGGAGGATCACAAGTTCCAGCCCACCTGGGAAATTTAGTGAAACCATATCTCAAAATGAAGAATTTTAAAAAGCCGGGGATGTAGCTCAGTATGAAGGTCCTGGGTTCAATTCCCAGCCTGCCCAGCCCCCCCCCCCACAAATCATAATGATGATCATGAAATATCATGCAAATTGTTAAGATGGGCAATATCACCTTGTATAAAATAAACCAATTTGTGTTCATTTTATATAAACTTTAATTTTGAGTAATAAATATAGACAGGTACCAAGAATATGATAATATGATAAAAGCACTGTGAAACTGACTACTACTTGGTCAAGTTACTACTGCTCAGTCATATTTACTTTATCTTACTTTTATTAATAAAAACAATACTCCTGGTGACACTGACACATTCTGTCCTGCTTCTCATTCATTGTCGTCCTCCCCAGAGATAACCAGTGTAAGTAGGAATACACTTTGGGTTATTCCAGTTCAGTCTTACACTGGCACAAACCTGAAATCACATTTTGCGCACTTTTAAGATTTCAGGTGGAGAAACAAATGGCTGTCTTTGAGACCTAAAAAAATCTGTAACTTCTTTTGCAAATCCAGGTGCCCTTTGATCATTCCAAATTCTCTAAGTCCAAACTCTTCACCTTTTAAGTGGGGTCCTCCCCTGCCTGCGGAGGCTGGTTCCTCCCAGCACCGGGGCATGTGGAATGGAGCCAGAGTACTAGTATTTCCTATTTGTAAGTGATAAGAGGGGGAGGTGGTAGCTTTCAGAGATCAGGTTTCAAGTGGAGCCCTGGTTTTTATGTGTGTGGGAATGGCCGAAAAGGAAAACACAGCTGAGCTGCATTCTGACTCTTCCTGTGAAACCTGTTTCTGCGCCCGCCCGTGAGCAGACCTGGGTAAAAAGGTTTCCCTAAAACAGCCTTGGGTGAAATTCGTGCCTGTATTCAAAGTAACTTACTTCCCAGGAAGGATAGTGGGAGCCCCCCACCCCCCACCCCGCGCCCCACTTTAGAAAAGTCTCTCTTCTGGGAAAATCTATCAGCAAGAACTTCGCCCTATCCTCCTGGGTGAGAGGAAGGAGCAGACTGGGGAGGTGTCACTCGCCAGAGTTGCTGATGTCAGTGGCGTATCAGCCGTGGGAGGCTCGGTTTGGGAAATTGAGTTACACCTCAGTGTCTTATGAAACTCGGTTCAGAGCACACCGGAGCTGCTGTCTGGCAGGGGGAGGGGGAGAAAACCCTGAGATTTTCCCCTCTATTCCGTGTTTTGGAGCTTCTGGATTTAAAGAGATGAAAGCCCCAAGTCTACAGACACTGTAGGAAATCGGTATGTGGCTTTATACTTTCATTAATTCCTCTTTGAAGCGGATGAGTGTTACAGTTCAGACTCCTACATGCTCGGACTATGGAAGGCTGTGTCCTTGGTGTATGCTGACTGGCTTTACTCAGTTTGGGACCTGGGGCCATCAAGGGTCCAGTCTGAGCACTTTTGTCCCATGGCTGTGTCTGTCTGCACGGGAACCTTCACCTTACCCTGTTCCTTTCCATGAGGTTTGTGTGTCTGTGAGAAGTCTTGGTTCCTGTCCTTCCGGAAATGTTTTTGCTGATTGTGCACTGCAGAAAAATTCTTATTATTTAAGCGATTTAAAAGTGTTCTTTTAGGATTCTTTGAACATAATTTCAAAATCTGGCCAGAGACTTAATAATGAAATGAAATTGCTGGGCTGGTACATATTTCCCTAATCGTTAAGACTGGGGACACAGAAGAGACACTGACTGCAAAGTCCACACTGAGAGCTTTGTAAACCTCAGGCTAGTGCAGGGTAGTACGAGGATTGGGAACAAGCCCTGAAAACACAGCAAGGCATACTCAGTTCTGTGACTAAGCTTCTTTTTACCAAATTATTTGCCTGTCAAATGCATGTTTCTGGTTAAGTTTGTTTCCCCCAACCAAGTGACAATCCACATTGAGTCCAGCACCAGGATATCAGCAGTGGGAATACAGAGGTCAGGATCTCTTTACGCAAACTGGAGGCTTTAGCTTAGAAACCAAGAGGGCAGCTCAAGCATTTACCCCATCCCCTCCTGCACCCCCATTCCTGGAGCTTGACTTCTGTGATATTTAGGGGAACTTTGCTAGGTGAGAAACCGCTGTCTCAGATATTCACCTCTGCCTCTGCGTGGGGGTTCTCTTTTACTTTCACTTTGCATTCGTTTGAAATTTAATCTCTGGTCTTACTGCAACATCCTTTTCAGTATCTTTCATTTAAATACAAAATCAACATCTTTCAGCAGAATGCTTATGCTTACTGGAATCTATGCAGATTTCCTTATTATATAGTTGAGTCAGAGGAAACACTATATGCGTGTTCCCTCGCAGATGTTTGGTCTTACTGTTAAAGAAAGATTTATTGGTGTTTAGTTGTTAAAGATTACTGTCAGAAGAAGGAATAAAATGGTTTCAGGTTGTAGTTGATTTATAAAAAGATGAATCGTGTTTTGTGCTTAATCTTACCCTTCATGGGAACTTAAAATCATTTGATTATTAAGCTGACTGAGTAGAAATGAGTCATTAAAGCTATGTGGTTTTCTCATTTCTTTAATATTTTAGTTATTCCAATGGAAGCAGCTGGAGAATTTATATTTTCGTGAGAAAAAATTTGCTGTTGAAGTTCACGATCCACGAAGGTAAGGATCAGAGATTTTTGCATGGTCCCAGTCACTTTATGAATAATACTGCTATGAACATTTGTATATGGGTTTTTGTATGAATATATGCTCTCATTTCTCATGGGTCTGTCCCATACTTAGGAGTAGAATTTCAGAGCCAAATGGGAGCTGTCTTTAACTTTTAAGGGAACTGTCAGACTTTTCCAAAGCACTAGGGTGCATTTCCACCAGCAACATACATGGTTCTAAGTTCTCCACATCCACACTTAACACTTGCTGTTTGTGTGTATGTATTCATGCATGTTTTATATCCATCCTAATGGTGTGAAGTTGGTTCCTCCTGGTTTTTTGATCTGCGTTTCCTTCAAGACTAATGATGACAAAGCTTCTTTTCATGGGCTTGTTGGCCATTGCTATAACTTCTTTAGAGAAGTATCTATTCAGATCCTTTACTCTTTTTGTTTTCTTGTTTTTTTCTTTTCTTTTTTTCCTGGACTGGGGATGGAACCCAGGGCCTTCACACTGAACAACACCCCCACTTCACCCCTTCTATGAGACAGGGTCTAAGTTGTCCAAACTGGCCTTGAACTTGCAACCCCCCTGCCTTACCCTCCCAGAGTGCTGGGATTATAGGCCTGCACCACCACAGTGGCCTCCTTTGCTCAGTTTTAATTTTGGTGTTTCTGGTCATTTAAAAAGACAAAAAAAACAGTTGCCAGGTCATCAACATGACTCCAGGTCAGGATGTAGGTTCTCCAAGGTCTTAAAAGAACTCAATCAGTCCCTAGGGGTTATTTTTCTGTCCCCAGATAATGTTTATGGATGTTTGACAGGCAGACTAATGGGAGGAAACAGCTGTGACAAAAGATGACCCAGCCAGAGGATTACACACACACACACACACACACACACACACACACGTGCTTGCACACACCGCACAGTGTCTGTCTGCCTCCATCCCCCATCCTTCTCCTTCCCTTTCTGCCCCTCTCTCTCTCTCCCACTCCCATGCTCTTTTGCTTTTTCTTGCTCCCCCACCTTCTGGTCCAGTTGTGGGTTTGTGTCTTTTCAGCTCTATCATTGTGTTCATCCTTGCTAATGTCAGCGCAGGCCACATCTACCCAGACCTGAAATGCTCTTTCTTTACCTTGAGGCGGATGCTCATGCCACAGGTTCTGCTCTCTCCATTTTTAAAACATGGCCTTTATTTTCTACTGCTTAAGGTGGTCTCAGACCTCTATAGTTTCTAACTAATGAATGTTTTTATACAGCTTTTCGTTTGACAAATCCCTTATCTGCTTTTCAGTGCATGTGTAGTGTTTTTCAGTGTGCTAGCTATACAAAAAGAGATTGCGTAGGTCTCAGTAGTTTCATCATAAACGAATAAAATCAGAAACTCAGCCCCAGTCAGCCTAAGCCTGTATAACAGAAAGACAGAAAGAAGGTGCTTTGTTACCACATTGCTCATGGGTACATTTTGTGTGGGGCTGGGCAAGAGGTGAGTAATTTGAGTGTTTCCCATAATCTTTCAGGATTTCAGTGTCCAGGAGAACCTTTGGGCAAAGCGGCCTCTTTGTGCAGACCTGGTATGCAAACTCTTCTCTCATCAAGTCCATCTGGGTAATGGCCATTAGCCAGCACCAGTTTTACCTGGACCGGAAGCAGAGCAAAGTAAGTCACTGGGAGGATTTCTACTCCAACTAACTCCAGTCCTGCTTTTGCTTTATTTAAGAAGATAAGCTGTTTCAGAAAACATGCAAGTATGTGGATTTTTGTTTTTGAGGGTTTTTAAAAAAAACTTTACTAGCAACTGCTTTACTTTTTCATGCATTTAAAAAATAGGCAATATGTATATAGTTGATTTAAAATTATAAGATTGGCATGCATATGTATGTACGTTGGTGACATTTTAAAGTTAGGAACTGAATCATGCCATGAGAGTTTTGGATAATTATGAAAACATCTTAGATACAAAGTTTAAGTCTCATTTTTTTTTTCCTGGAGTGCCAGTTGAATATTAATCATGTCATTAATGTAAAATGTATTTAATTGCACTGATTCCATTTCGATATTTTTGCATCATAGGCAAAAATTCCTTCAGCCAGGAGTTTAGATGATATTGCCATGGATCTAACAGAGACAGGAATGCAAAGGGCATCTAAACTGGTGACACTGGAGGCCAAAAGTCATTTCATCATGGCCAGCAATGGCAGCTTAATATCTTCAGGTAACATCATAGCATTAGAGAAAGTGCAAGCCGTATCTTTTTTATCATGTCATTTTAAATATATATTTTAACTCCTTATTTTGGGAATAAAAAGTATATCAAAACCTACTGTATGCAACAGTTTTGAATACAATATTAAAGATATAAAGTTATAAATAGTCAGGATATCTAAGCAACATTAGATGTAGAAGGAGGGAGTCCCTAAGGATGACTTGGAAGGACATTTTCTACCCTTAAATCTTGTCACCATCTTCTGTGAGTAGTTTTTCATCAGTCTGACTATCTGTATGATATGAAATGCTATACAAAGATGATTACATGACTTACCCCCAAAATATAATTACTACCCCTCAGCCCTTCTAGAAATTTAAAATTTGTGAGAACTTTCATAATTTGTCCCATCTAAATCTCACTGTTGCTTTGCAAAGCTGTAGTACTAGCTTCCTTTTTGTAGAACATTCCTTTGCCTTGCTGGCTTACCTACCCAAGGAACATTTGAAATGACTATCTCAGGGAGCATCATACTTTCCCTCCTGCCTACAAAAAGGACATTTTTTCCTTGGGTGAAGTGTTTTATCCCCACTTCCAATGTGGCCGAGCCAAAATGCACAAGAAGGTTCATTTTCCTACCAGCCTCTATTTGATGCCCAGAAGCATGAAAAAATGTTCTCTAGCTTCCTTTTATTATTTCAGAAACAAGGAAAAAAGAAGTAAACTAGCATTTAATAGCAAGTTTGGTTTCACAATCCTTTGTCCTTCCCAAAGGAAGGAAACATGCTTTGTGTAAACCTCCCACCCCTCCCCACCACAGGTTCTCAAGACTCAGAAGTCAGTGAAGAGCAAAAGCGGGAGAAAATCCTAGAGCTCAAGAAGAAGGAGAAAATACTGCAAGAAAAACTCCTTAAAAAAGTTGAGGAGCTGAAGAAGATCTGTTTGCGCGAGGCTGTGAGTGTCCTCGCTTCTGGGGCTCTTCAGCTTGTGTCAGATAGATGTGGCCTGTGTCAGTTACAAGCTCCTGACCCTGTCCTGTTTTACAGGAGCTCACAGGCAAAATGCCAAAGGAATATCCGCTGAACATAGGCGAGAAGCCTCCTCAGGTCAGGAGGCGTGTGGGGACCGCATTCAAGTTAGACGACAACTTGCTGCCAAGCGAGGAGGTATGAGCGCCAGCTCTGAGCCTTTCTTTGAACCACAAGACATAAATTTTACCCTCAAACCACAAAAAGCATTAAATGAACCCTAAATGTTTATAAACTGAGAAATAGTATTATAAGAATTAAGAACATCAGCCTAATTCCTTTACTTATAACTCAGTAGCCTTTTGCAAATAGCTTAATCTGTGAAGTCTCATTTTTGAGGTTTCAGTTTCTCCATCTACAAAATGGAAATAAGAGTGTAATTTCCCTGCAAAGGATGTGATGAGTATTAAATGCAATAATACATGTGCACCATTTAGTATAATTTAGTTAAAAATTTTGACAGCCAATCAGCCAAAGAAAGTCTACACATGGTTCTTGTAGAAATGCTATACTATCTTGGCTTTAGAAAACAATATGTGTCTGCCAGTAATATAGAGGGCTTTGTTATGTTGAGTGCTCACCTGTGTACCTAGCTGTGAGCTAAGCAAAGCACATGAGTAATCACATGTCATCTTCAGCACCTGTTATAAGGTAGTTGCTATCTTCCTTTTACAAATGAAAAAAGTGTAGCATGAAAAAATTAAGTAGTATATGCAGAGTCATGTAACTGTGAACCACCAGAAAGAATCAAACCCACATTTATCCTTCTAATGCTGTGCTTATTGATATAATGTTCTGTACCCATGAGTCTTGAGAATCTCTCCCTTTAAACTATGATCTGTAGCCAGCCAACTGCATGGATGAAAGGTCATTTCCTTCCTTAACAAGGGAAAAGACTGGGGTAATGAGAAGTTCCAGGTGGATAAGGAGTATCTTGTCTTCCTAAAAAGTGTTTGGGATATCTCTGCATTAGAATTTAGAAAGACTTTATTCTCAAAAAACATCTGATTCAAGAATACACAAGAAATTTTGTTATTCAGTACTTGAGAGAGTGACTGTACTTGTGTCCGTAAAAGTAAAACAATATCATTGTGTAAATACAGGATCCGGCTTTACAAGAACTGGAGAGCAATTTTCTAATACAGCAAAAGCTGGTTGAAGCTGCAAAGAAACTTGCCAGTGAGCCAGACCTTTGCAAAACTGTGAAGAAAAAACGAAAGCAAGATTACATGGATGCAGTAAAAAAGCTCCAGGAGATTGAAAACGCAATAAATGAATACCGAATTCGATGTGGAAAGAAACCCAGCCAGAAAGCAACAGGTATTTTACCAAGTTGATAAAAAGTTAAAAATTTTTGAATCCCTTTGTCAATACTCTCGATGGTGGCATGTAATATTTCTAAGCCTGCTCATTTGACAAAAGACAGAAGGAAGAAAAGGATGAAAAGTAAGTTTCTTAGGGTAATAATAGTTTGAAATTTCAGTCTTATAAGTATGTAAATTTAATTGTCAGTTTTACTATTGTAATACTATACTCTTGGGTTACTTTAATTTTCAGGATGGAAGCACTTTCACAGCAATAATGGTTCATAATAAGAGATTCACCTTTAACTGGGCTGAAGTCATTGCCAAAAATACTGTTGACAACACTAGAGTTGAGCCTGCTCTAATAGTTTGTGAAGGTTTTTAGTACAGCATGCATTTTCTTAAGGTTTATCCCTGTGTAGATAAAGAAGAATACGGACTTATCCTTCCATGTGGATAGGAATAAACTGTTAAAATTACTGTCATTTAAGCAGGCTATTTAAAGATGAGGATATATGATCATGATATAACATGGACTGCAGAAAGGCAAAATATAGCATTGTAACCATGGTGTAATCCAACTTTGAGAAATATTTTAAAACACTAATAGCTACCGAGTTTAAGTAACTTAATTTACTTAATACCCCTCTGTATTTTCCAGATTCTCAATATCATTTAACCATAATTTTTATGTTCAGGAAAAAAGGAAGCCAAGAAATCTCATTTAGGGAGAAATTAAGTGTAGTTTGCCTTCCCTAAATATTAGCATGGTTTTTAGCCTTCATTGTTGATTAAAATATGATTATATTTCTTTGATCCTAAGACTTCATTTTTTCCTTCACATTTTAACATTTGTAAAATTGAGATAATTCTTATACAGGATGGTGTGTTGCAATCATGGTTGGCAGTACTTTTCTTTTTCTACTGCAACATAAAATAATCACACATCTTAGATTTGATGAGATATGGTAACTGGGTTTAGAATATACTCAGGTTTAGGGCATAGGATCTATAGTTCAGTGATACGGCTTTTGGAAAATAAATGTACAGACATTGACACACAAGTGTTAGTCAACTACAGCTGGAGAATTTTGGGTGGCTTTGGCTCTAAATGTGCAACCCAGCTGGCCTTGGCAATGGTTACATTCTTGGCCTGTAGAGATGAGTGATTAGCAGTGCACTTAACATTCACGGATTTGTTATAGCTCATTCATCCTCAAACTGTGCAAGATTCTAGTGCTCTCCTTTTCAGTGACTGACATTTGGATAGCAGATGGTGCCACTGTGTGAGCAAATATTGGATAGATTTTTTTTAAGTGTGCCCAACAGCTGACTACTATGGCACCTCGCCTCCAGCCTCCACTGTGTGTCTAATTAAGAGGTGGTCCGCCCAGCCCCGAAACAGATTAGCGTTTGAGATTGGATGGAGAGAGTCCCCTCATAATGGCTGTGAAGCTTACACTGGGGTGTCATGTTTGCCTAGAATCTTTGGCCAAAAACCCTCAACACTGAGTACAGAATGATTTGCAAAAACCTATCAACACATCTGAGATGTCACTTTTCACTAAATACATTAAGATTTAATAGGTACCAGTAATACTCTGAGCATTATGGATGTCATTTCTAGCTGGAACAATGAATGTTGGTCACAAAAGTGAGGGTACAGGTAATAATCACTGAGCATTTGTCATGTGCAAGCAGCTGGGCCAAGATCTTCATGTCATTATTTCATTTAGTGATTCTGTGATAGGTGCTGTTGTAACCCCCGTTTTAGAGCTGAGCCAGATGATGCTTAGAGAGGTGAAGTAATTTGCCCAAAGTCTCACAGCCAATAAATGGCAAAAACAAGTCCCGTCCCCCCCATCTGCACATCCAGGCCTTTGCACACGCTAGGCAAGTACTTTACCATTGAGTTACATTTCCAGCCCTTTTTATTATTTATTTTGAGTCAAGGTGTCACTGATTTGCCCAGGCTGGACTCGAACTTGCAATCCTCCTGCTTTGGCCACCTGAGTAGCTGGGGCTATAGGTGTGCACCACAGTGCCTGGATAAAACCAATATTTAAACCCAAATCTTCCTATTCAGTAGTTCTCAACTAGGGGCAGTTTTGTTCTCCAGAAATATTTAACAATATTTGCAGACATTTTGGGTTGTAAAAATCAAGGGTGGGATTACTGCTGGTCCTATAATGCATAAGACACCTCCCTAGAACAAGGAATTATTCCCAAGGGCCAGTTGTACCACTACTGAGAAAGCCTGGTCTCACTAGAAGGCTCAGATACCACAAAGTGAACATGCTGTTAAGTTAAGGCCTTTTTCCCCCAGGGTGCGGGGGGGATCAAAAATAAAGTGTACTCACAGTTGATTCTCAAACGAGGATCCAAATGGGTTTCAGGTAACATTTTGCATTTATGACAAGAATGGCGTTTCCAGTTTGTTGGCTGTAAGCACTAAATATAGAGGGCAAAGTTTTCTTTCTATGTGGAGGGAACAGTACAAACTAGTTTAGAATCAAAATTCCTAGGCTGTCTCTTCCATTTAAAGAATAGTCAGTCCTTGTTATCTTCGCGTTCCACATCTGCAGATTTAACCAACCTAAGGTTGAAAATATTGGGAAAAAAAAAACTTGCCTCATCAGACCTTTTTTTCTCATTAGTCCCTAAACAACCAGTGTAACAACTAGTTAGACACTATTTACATAGTATTGGATGTTATAAGTAATCTAGAAATATTTAAGGTGTGCAGGAATCTGCAAATACAGTGCTATTTTATATAAGGTACTTGGACATCCTTGGAGGGGTGCTGGAACCAATCTCCCAAAGATATTGAGGGACCACCGTAATCTACTGTTGTGTGTGTGCAGTGCGTAAGACGTTTCTATCTGCAGTGGTAAATGAGTCAACCCTTACAACAGTTTATTATTCTTAATGTACTGTAATTAGTTATATTTATCTAAATGAAAATAAAATGTACTTCATCAAAAATTGCTTCATTGAACTCACTGTAATTATGTAAATGCACAATTATACTAAAGCAGTTATTTTTATTCACAGAAGACATCATCCCATCAGAGAGTAGCTCCTTGTCTGACACTGCCTATGATGATCGTAAGTGGAAACTTCTTTCTTGATTTAAAAATTTTGAGTGTTCTGAAATACTAAGATAATACTTTAAGTACAGCCTACTTGTTTTTCTTTTGGGAAAAGCGGAATAAACTAACTTATGTAAAATGTTTAGGAAAGGAGATATATAGTTTACCATTTACTCACTTTAACTCCATCCAAATCACATTACTTCAGGGAATCAGAAAACCACAGCATAAGTAAGTCTCTCAGTGAGGATTTTAAAGCCCTGTAATTATTTTTGTTTGTTTTTTGTTTTGCGGTCCTGGGCATTGGGCTTTCTCACTGAGCTGAATCTGCAGACCTTTTTTTTTTTTATTTGAAACAGGTACTCACTAAGTTGCTCAGACGAGGCTTAAACTTGTGGTCCTCTTGTCTCAGACTCCCAGAGCATGGGGGTTACTGGCATATGCCATCATGCCTGGTTTTTAAAAAAAAAAATCTTAAAGTAATTATAAACTCACAGAGAATTGTACTAATAACACAGAATCCTTCACCTAACTTTTCTTGGTGATGATATTTTACGTATTTGGAGTCCAGTATCAGAACCTAGAAACTGTTCTGTAGACTTTGATTATCACTGTTTTCAGGAGAGGTGGAAATTTATTTTATTTTCCTTAAGAGGTCACATTTTATAAGCTGGGTTACATGTCATTTGTCATTTCATACAGGTGGGTTCCATTTCATGTTGGATTGGGTTTCATACCAAGTGAGTCAGTATTTCCTTGTAGTCCTTGATGCTTACTCAGCTGAGTTGGTAAACTATCTGATATGATTTAAAGAATTCCAGGAAGCTGCCACCCTCCATTCTTTATCTTCCCCTGAATTTTATGGTACATAAAATTCTGCCATTTTAGAATTCTTCCTTTGAGCTAAGGCCTGGTCGTGCTTGCCATTGCTCTTTGAAAATGCAAATGTCGGTGGTAGACCTAAGAAGTCTGCAGTGATGCAGCATAAATCAGTTTCATCACTTCTGGTGGCATGATGAGCCTGTAGATCACAAGTCTAAGAACTTTACAAGTGGACAGAAATAGTCTGCCTATTCGCTCTTGGCCTTTTGCCCTCTGAGGATTTTCTTTAATAAACACTTTAAAAGATGGTGTCACCTGTTCTGTCCTAGTGAGTTCCTTACTATTGAATTGACAAAAGTTTCTTCCAACCCTGGGAGAGTATTCATGTCTTTATCTAGTGTATAAAATATAAAAATTAATTTCTGACAAGTTATGTCTGAAAACATTGTCTTCGGAAGAACACATTGTTTGTCAGATCTTCCAATTTCTTTTTTGAGATATTGGCAAGGTATTAATTTACTTATTTATTTACCCCTGTTTATCCATCTATTCATTTACTTATTTTAGCCAATGATGCCTTCAGTCCTGCTGGGCAGCGACCAAGTTCAGTACCCCATTCTCCAAGAATTCTTCCCCCCAAATCTCTCGGTATTGAGCGAATCCATTTCAGAAAGTCATCCATCAGTGAACAGCTTGGGGATACCAGGCAGTCCAGGTGAGCAGCATCTTAATAAGGTGAATGCCTCACAGCGAGGAAATCTTCCCTCAAAATGATGACATGTTTTTATTCTTTCAAAAGATATTCTTTTGTAAAACTGAGGCATAGAAATTGACCCAGAGATTTGTTGTTGAGAGCAAATAGAAATATTTTTAAAACATTTGAAAATACTTTTTAAAGTCTTTGGCTCTTTCCTTGATTTTAAAGTCTATTTGATTTAAATTTGGTTATAGGGACATTATTATCATCTGGATTTGGGTATTGTGTTATCCAGTTTTGCAATACTATACCAAAATACCTAAAATAATTTATAAGGAAGAAATGTTTATTTTGGCTCAGTTACAGATTTTTCAGTTTTAGTCCATGGTCTGTTGGCACTGTCACCTTTAGGCCTGTGACAAGGCAGAACATCACAACGAGGGCATGTAATGGCTGGGAAGTAAAATGAGAGGAAAAGGCCAGGACCCCAGTCTTCCCTTCAAGAGTGTGTTCCCCGTGGCCTAACTTCCTCCTACCAGACTCCTCCTGAAGGTTCCACCACCTCCCAGTAGTGCCAGTTTAGAGACCCTGCCTCTTAACATGTGGGGCTTGAGGGACATTCAAGATCCAAACTATGTCAGATGTGGTGTCCAGAATTCAATCTCATAACCTTTGGTCTATGGAAACCATCATTAAACACTGCTTTGCTAAACTAATAATAAGATTGACTTCTGAGTCTGCAAATACATTTACTTTTTAGTGCGTAAAATAGATAACACAATTTTTTTCTCCCCTCAAATGACTTAGGTAAATATTAACTGGACAGTGTGATTAGGTTTAAAAAAATAACAAACTGCCAGGGATTTAGCTCAGTGGTTCCGGCGCCTGCCTCACAAGTGCAAGGTCCTGAGTTTGATCCGCAGTACCAGAAAAAAAAAAATATCCTGAGTTCGATCCCCATAACCAAAAAAAACCCAGTATGATTCTCAGAATTTGGTTGCATGGATTTCTACTAATTTTTTTAAAATTAGGGCACAAGATGAGACCTGTTTATTTTGCCAAGGTAAAATGTTCAAACCAATAATACCATGAATCAATGAAATAAATGATATTTAAGTATCAAAAATATACCCATTGGCATCACTGTCATAATAATGAAAGAAATTCACATCTACTGACCACTTACTATGTGCCAGATGCTATTGGAAATGTTTTTATATGTATTAACAAATTTAATTCTTACCACAATTCTGATAATTATTCCTTCTGTCCTTACTATGAATACACTGAGGACCAAAAACCATGAAAAACTTCTTTGGGTTCATCATCTACTAAATATAGGAGTTCACATTTACACCAAGGTGGATTCCAAAGGTCCTGATGGGAGTTTAGGCAACATGTTAGCATTTCAGCTGATAAATTAATCTCAAAATAAAAGAAGATCACTCAAATAAAATAAATTTTGACTTATGAAAATATATCATATAATTTTATATTTCTAATTTGGCAAAGACCAGTGAAAACTTTCTCACGTTACCAAGCCTGGTTTAGGAATTAGCACTTAGGAACTTTTGCCTGAAACAGTGGAGCTCCAAGGGACTAACACTGTGCTATTCAATCTAATTAAGTCAATTCAGTTTAAAATTCAGTTCCCCAGTTGTGCTAGCCACTTATCAAGTGCTCAAGAGCCCCATGTTACTCATGGCTGTCATGCTGGGCAACACAGAAGTGGGACATTTCGATCATGGCAGGAAGTCCTATCAGAGAGCACCTGATGAGCATGTTTATTATATTAGGGCAAGCAAATCTGTTTCAGGAAAAGGAAAAATCATAAATGGGAATCATTATCTTAAAAATGGTTATACACACTTCTCCAGTAGCTTAAGATGGATTTACTCTTTGATCCAGCAGTTTCATTCATAGGAGTCTTTACTGTTGAGTTGATTACTCAACCTCAGGATGCCCATCACAGCCTTGTTCACATTTGGGACAAATCAAAAACAACCTAAATGCTCAACTAAATTATGGTTAAAAATCATTCAGTGGTACGATGTGTAGTCATTAAAATGACACTACAGGCAAATATTAGGCAATATGAAACATTAGATACACATTTTACAAGGAAGTATTGATAGGGAATATACATGCAGTAAGATCTCAGTTTTTATTATTAAAAATCTATAGATGAGGGGGCCGGGGATTTAGCTCAATGGCACTCCACCTGCCTCACAAGCGCAAGGTCCTGAGTTTGATCCCCAGTACCACCCCCCAAAAAAATCTATAGATGTTTGTCACTATATATGCTTATAAAAATATACAAAAACATTTAATGTTATATCTGAGGTATCAGGTTATGGGCACCTAAATTTTTATTTGTATTTTTGAAATTTTCTGTAATAAATTTGACTCATCTTTGTAATAAGTAAAATTACTTATTACAAGTAATGAGACATTGTGCTGGGGAGGGAACTCAGGCCTCCTGTTTGCTAAGCATAAGCTAGCCCCTTAGTCCCTTAGAAAGTTACTTTAATTTTTAAAGATTAACCTTAAGTTTTATTTTCCTTTTCATTGTGCTGGAAAATGGACAAAAGGATTTAAGGATGTTGCTAGTCCAGAGACTACCAGACAGCAGTCCAGGGACCAGACCCATCTTGCCACCAGTTTTTGGACAATCCATGACCTAAGACTGGTTTTTATATTTTTAAATAGTTGGTGAGGAGGAATCAATAGCTATAATTTGTGTATGTGTGTGTGGTACCAACGATCGAACTCAGAGCCTTGTGCTTTGCAAGGCAGGTGTGGCACCACTGAGCTAAATCCCCAGCCCAACAGCCATAATATTGATTACATGTAAAACTTACATGAAATTGACATTTTGGTACCCATGAATAAAGTTTTATTAGAATGTAGCCACTTACATTCACTTACATATTACTATGGCTGCTTTTGTACTATGACAAGGACAGAGTAAATAGCAACAGTAACCATCTGACCCTCAAAGGCAAAAATATTTACTATTAGAGTATTTTTTTTAAATGATTTTCTGGCCCCTACTCTAGTTGCTTTCAGCCTACAATATTTTATTCAGTTCACTATTTTGTAGAAGTCTTTCACTTTTTCCTATATATTTATGACCCAGAGAGTCACACTATAGGTGCTTCCTCTAAAACTCATCTAGAACCCAGCAAGATATGAACCCACGGAGAGCCCTTTCGCATCTTTCTCTTTACACGCCCTTTCTGTCAGCTTCCAGTAAGCTTCTTATAGGCTGATGACAAGGTTCCCAGATGTGTTGGGAGACTTACTGTTTCTTGAATTCTTTTTTTTTTTTAATCATCACAGAGAAATGTTGTCAACACACAGCAGTCCTTACAAAACCCTGGAGAGGCGGCCCCAAGGTGGCCGGAGCGTGCCCACCACACCAGTCCTCACCCGCAACGCCTACAGCAGCAGCCACTTGGAGTAAGAGCTTCCCACCTTCTGCTTTGGCTCCCTTGATTTCACCCGTGAACATTTCTCTTGCTTTGTTTTGTTTTGTTTGTCATTCTAAGTGACTTCTGTAGCCGGGCCCTGTTTATTCTTACACATTTCTGCTTATGTACAGTTTTAAATAGATCAGCAAAGAAAAGATACATTTGTCTAGGTGTACATTGGATTGTTAGTAATTTCCCCAACTCAATACTACTACTCATGATTAAATGGTGAGGATGAAGAGAATAAGAACAGCGATCTTTTATGTGTTTACTGAGTGCTGTGCTAAATGTTTTATACATGCTATGCTATTTGGTCCCCATAACGAACCTATTGTGAAGTGGTCATTAGGTATGTACTATTTTTGTCTCATTTACAAAGAAGGAAGCAAGATTCAGAGAGGTTGGATATCTTGCCTTAAATTAGGCATGGTAACTCACACCTATAATCCCAGCACTTGGGAGGCTGAGGCAGGAGGCTTACAAATTTGACATCAGCCTGGACTAAATATCAAGTTCAAGGCAACCATGGACTATATGGTGAGATCCTCTCAAAAAAACCCAAAATGGTCATGGTGATACACACCTGTAATTCCACCACCCTGGGAGGCTAGGGCAGGAAAATTGCAGGTTCTATCCTAGTCAGGGCACATTAGCCACTTAGCAAGACCCTGTCTCAAATAATAAATAAATAAAGGGCTGGGGATGTAGCCCTGTGCCAAGGCCTAATCACCAATACCACTGAATGAATGAATGAATGAATGAACAAATGAACGAGAAATCTTTTTTTTTTTTGTATTAAATTCTTTTATTGGTACATTGTAGGTATACAACACAATTACATTTCTCATTGGGAATTGTACCTTTATATAATGCATCTTGGTTCTTATTTTTTCCCCATTCCTAGCCTTCCCTTCACACCCTCCACCCTTCCCTATTTACAAAGATTTATTTCCATTTTTTCCATTTCTCATCATTTTTCCTTTTCCTTCTTTCCTTTCCCCTGCCCCTCCCACTACCCCTACCCCTTTGGACCTTTTCTTCCTTTTTTGCATTATCGATTATTCATTCTAATCATTGGTACATTTTAGGTATACAATATAATGACATTCCTCATTGGAAATTTGCACCTTTACATAGTCTCCCTTGGTTCTTATTTTTCACCCTTGCCCAGCCCTCCCTTCAACCCCTCCAGTCCTCCCTATTTACAAAGATTTTGTTCCTATTTTTCCATTTTCTCATATTAATCCCATTCCCTTCTATCCTTTTCCCTAGCCCTCCCACTTCCTTCCCCTTTGCCCCTTTTCTTCCTATTTCACATTACCTATTATACATTCAGTTCTTATTTACACTTTCAGTTTCTCACACCAGAGAAACTATTCGGTATTTATACATGTGTGTCCTATTTATTTCACTTAAGAGTATTGCCTCAATGTGCATCCACTTAGCTATAAATGTCTCTCATTTCTCATTTTTTATGGCTGAGTAGTACTCCATTTTATAAAAAAACCACATTTTCTTTATCCAGTCTCCAGTTGATGGGCATTTGGGCTGTTTCCAAGTTTCAGCTATTACAAACTGCGCTGCTATGAACATGGGTGCACATATATCACTGTGGTATGATTCTTTTAATTCTTTGGGGAAGATCCCCAGCAGTGGAATAGCGGGGTCAAATGAGACTTGCAGTCCTAGTTCTTTGAGGTATCTCCATACTGATTTTCACAGTGGTTGCACCAGTCTACACTCCCACCAGCAGTGGAGCAGGGTTCCTCTTTCCCCACAGCCCCGCCAGCATTTGTTATTGGTTGATTTCATGATAGCAGCCATTCTTTCTGGAATGAAGTGGAATCTCAGCATTGTTTCCATTTGCATCTCTTGAACGAGAAATCTTGCCCCAGATCAGAAACCTGGAAAATGCCAGAGCCCTGATTCATGGAGATATCTCTAGCTCCAAGGTCCACACTCCACTCCATCATGCAGTGCTACCTCCACTCAGCCTAATTTACCTTAATATTCTGTTGAAAGAGAAGAGCCTCCAAAGACATGACAGCTGGTATTCTCACCCTTTGAGGCAGGCTGTGTGAAACTAATTTATATCTTCCCTGCCCTCGAGAAATGATTGGTTTGCATGCCTGAGAGCATTTAGTTCTTTCTCATTTTGACTGTGGTAATGAACTTAGAGGCCTCTAGCATGTTATTTGGACCTAGGGATTCTCTTGCACTGTCAGCCTTGGAAACTTCAAGAAATTCTCTTGCAATTTAGCAGCCATGAAATCATTCGACATGGTGTTCTTTCTCTGTCTCAGGGTCCTCCTTTCCCTCTTTTCATGTACACATTTGCCTTTGTCCTCTCGCAGACCTGAATCTGCATCTCAGCACTGCCGCCAGCGGAGTGGGAGCCTCGAGTCTCAGTCCCACCTGCTCTCCGAGATGGATGAGAAACCATTTTTCTCCCTGTCCAAATCCCAAAGAAGCAGCAGCACCGAGATCCTAGATGATGGGTCTTCCTACACTAGCCAGTCAAGCACGGAGTATTACTATGTGACACCTGCTGCCGCGGCTGGACCCTATTACACCACCCAGACTCTGGACACACGTGCCAGGGGTCGGAGAAGGTCAAGGAAACAGAATGTTGCTGCTTCCAATTCAGGAAGCATGCCCAACCTGGCACAGAAGGAGAGTGTGAGGAATGGGGTCTACCCAAAGAGTCAGGAGCCACCCTCTTATAGTTACTATATCTCTGGGTATGCGCCATATGCAGAGTGTGACCTGTATTACAGCGGTGGCTACGTCTATGAGAATGACACTGAGGGACAGTACAGTGTCAATCCTTCCTACCGATCCTCAGCCCACTATGGATACGACTGCCCAAGGGACTATAGCAGATCCTTCCATGAAGATGAGGTGGACCGCGTACCTCATAACCCGTATGCAACTCTACGGCTGCCCAGGAAGGCTGCTGTGAAATCTGAGCACATCACCAAAAATATCCACAAGGCCTTAGTTGCAGAGCACCTGCGTGGCTGGTATCAGCGGGCCTCTGGGCAGAAAGATCAGGGGCACAGCCCCCAGACAAGCTTTGACTCTGACAGAGGATCCCAGAGAAGCCTGGGGTTTGCTGGGTTGCAGGTCCCCTGTTCTCCAAGCAGCCGAGCGTCCTCCTACTCTTCAGGTAAGGCAGTTGTGAAAGCACATGACATCTGGAGTTACTTTACCTCAGCCACCCACCCAATCCACTTCTCTCCAGGATCATGAAACTCAGGCCCAAGGCTAGGAGAGCGGTAGCCATTTAGTTGGACCACAGTAAGAATTGCCCACTTGAAAAATTTTCTCCAAATTTTTTCTCCGGAAACACAGGGCACATGAGTCTGATGAAGCAAAGTGTAGATTCAAGTGTAAAAAATATTTACTGAGCACCTACTATATATGTTGCTCTGTTTGTAGGCTTTCCTCTGCTTTGTCCTTCTAAGTCTTACATTGATAGCTACATCTCTTAAATGTGCTTATCATTGAGGTCTGTCTGATATTCTAAAAGACTTCAGTAAACCCCTTAGGTAAGAGAACATTAAAATTATACATAAATCCATCCCAGTCACCATAAAGATTCAGTCAGTCTAAAGGCTCTTTTGAATGCTCAGGAACCTACATAAGGTTTATCATAATTTGATGAGAATTGGTATTTATTAATCACTGTTCTAAGTACATTGCATATTTTAATTCAGTATTCATGTAAATTTTACTTTATGGTTGATATAAGGATTTTTTTGGGAGATATTTTTATTAGAAGAGTTGTTCCCTTATCTCCTTTGCATTGACTTGGGCTGCTACCTCCACTGACATTTGTGGACTATACACTGCACACCCTACCTGTGCTCAGTGCTTTAATGGAAAATGGGTGCTAGAGAGGAGTCTGCTTGCGGGTTCACAAATTCAGCTAGTGAGCAGGCACCCAAGAGGCTGAGGATTCAGTGTTAGAGCAGTTCCTGGCCTCCATGAGCTCAGGGTCTTGTCACAAGCCAGTGGAATGTGTGAAAACTAAGCAAGTTTTAAAACTCTTAAGAAATGAATGAAAACTCCAACTACATAAAAACCTGAGATCATGAGTTCTGCTGCCTCCCTTAAACTTGACACTTCAGTGAGACATAGTGTGGGGATTCCCAAGCCACCATTTAACAATCATCCTGAGCTGTACCTATAAACGTTTCACAAGTTTGTTGACAAGAGGCATTTCCATGGAGATTTCTATTTGGGTTCAACTTCTTTCTTGTTTGTGCAGACTTTGGACTTCCGCTAGGGCTATTCCATGTATGATCACATTGAACACATAAAAGGGCTCCTGTTATTTCTTGTTATTTGTGGCTCTGATCTAGAGGAAGGCTTTCTCCCTCCTAAAATTCAGAGTGTTGCCTGAAAAACTACCACACACCAAGCCTGGGCAGAGCACTACAAGGACAAAGGCAAATAGGAGGGTAGAGATGTTATAGACAATCGTCAGGGCAGGACAATGCCTGTGGAGGTGTAGATGTCTCTCGGGAACCTCAGCCTAGTGTCTGGGGTATGGGTGAGAACTGATACTTCCTGGTTAAGACCTGGTGTGAGCTTGCTGACACTACCAGGGTTTTGTTCCACAAACTTAGAACTGCTGCTGCTTTTTTTCTGGTACTGGGGATTAAACCCAGGGCCTTTGCACTGAGCTACATCTCCAGCACTTTTATTATTTTTTTATTTTGAGACAGAGTCTCAAATTGCCGAGTTGCCCAAATTGGGCTCAAACTTGTGATCTTCCTGACTCAGCCTCCCAGAGTGCAGAGGTTATAGGCATGTGCCACCACACCCAGCGAGAGTTCCTCTTCTTAAGGAGTTGGATGGAATCAGTGCTTCCAGAAATCTCTCTGGAATTTTCCTCATTCCTGTCTCCATTTTGTAGCTGCAGAAATACATTACAGTGGGTGTGTATATTCCTCCTGGAGAGATATGTTTCCATCCATTTGCCAAATTAAGGCTTTTGTAGTTCCTTCCAGACAGGCTCTCTTGGTGACTCAGTTGTGGCAGCTTCCTGTGCCACATGACATTTTCAGCACTTGATGCAGGCAACAGTTCTATGATGTGGTGATGCTGTTGTTAGGGTTACTATTCCTATTTCTTAGCCTCAGCAGATCTGGCTTAGAGAGTTTAACTGACCCTGCCCAAGCTCCAAAGCTAGTGAGTAATGGAGTGAGGCTTCTATCCCAGCCCTAACATCATGACCACCAAACCTCAGAGCCTCCACTTAGATATCTGGGACATTCTTGAGAGCTCAGAGTGAGAGTCTTCCATCTGTCAAACCCATATGGCACTAAGGGCTACAGATGAGTCTTAAAGTATGTTTGAACTCTGGTGATGGCAGATGTTTTATGGGTGTAAGAAGAGCAGTAGGTCAGTAGCCAGGAACAGGAAGTGGAGGCCAGCAGGAAGGACCATAGTGCTGGTTTTGTCAGTGTTGGTATTGTGGCCAGCTGCCTTGTACATCCCAGGCATGGAGCAGGACCGGTTTTTAGAGAGGACAGCCAACACCCAGTGATGAGGACTTCATCTGGCTTTGCTCCCAAATTGTGCCCTTGTCTTGTGCCTGTTCTGCCCCTCTGTGAAGCTAAGTCTCTCCTACCAGAGTGCCTCCCAATACCAGTCGTCACCATCCCCGCCCCCCCATCTTTGTTGAAGACAAAAAAGGTATACCTTGATCTTGCAAGTGCCCTGTGTTGCCTTTGGCTGAGGAAGAGTCAAGTCTCAGCAAGTCAGCCAAGCGGTGCTTTTCCTCCAGAGGCCTCCTACACACTCAGACTCATCATCCCCCATACCTAAAGCTTTGTATGTTCAGCCACCATGATCTGGGTACATAAATTCTCTTAATATGAGAGGGTTTTTGTTGTTGTTGTTGTTCCTTTTAGTTTTAAATTATTTTTACTTGTCAACTTTATCTTTTAATTAACCTTATTCCTTTTAATAATAATAATGGTTATCATTTCTTAAGTGTTCACTCTGTATTAGGCACAGTGCTAAAAATGTTCATAATTATATCATTTAATTCTGGTCTCATACTTACATAGAATATATTTGTGTTGTCATCCTCACTCTGCAGACGAAAAACGTGAAGCTTAAAAGAAGCTATTTGTTCAAGGCCACTTGGCCATTAAGTCACCAAATTGGAATTCCCAGTCCTGCCTTGGTGGGAAATGTAACCCTGTGGTAGGGTTTAGCACAGGCAAGACTTGGATTTAATCCCAGCACCAGCCCACAAACAGAAAACCAAGTCTGGGCTCTTAATCTCTACTCAGCACACGATCTATAATGACTTCAACATGACATAAACAGATTTCACTTGGAGTAATTTATGAACTAATTTATCTCTCTTTTAAATTTTTATTTCTAGTGTCTTCTACAAATGCTTCTGGGAACTGGAGGACCCAAGTGACAGTAGGACTCTCTGACTATGAGACTCCAGCACATTCTCCTTACACCAGCTGCTATGGCAATGTCTATAATGCTTTGCCCTCTCCAAGCAGGTGAGAAGCAGGGCTCACATTCCAGGAGCTTGCTCCTGTTCAACAGAACTCAGGGGTCTCACCTGGCTTCATGAACATGAAATAATCTAGCGCAGGGGTTGATAGGCTAGAGTGTACAGGCTAAACTCAACTGCTACCTGTTTTGTAAATAAAGTTTTGTTGGAAAATAGCCACCTTTATTCATTTACACATTATCGATGGCTGTTTTTGCACTCTGTGGACAGAGCTAAATAGTTGTCACAGACAGCATATGGCCAGCAAAGCCAAAATATCTAGCTCTTTAATAAAAAGTTTGCTGACTTCTAGTTTGTTCATATTTGATCTTTTTCTTGGAATTTGTACATTAAATTCTGAGTCTAAAGGTTTGTTGCTGGGTTTTTTTAAGACATTACTTGAAACTGTATTACTGATAATGTCTTTTTAAGTCTCTTCTGGAGTCTTTCAGGGAAAATAACTCAGCTCCAGAAAAGCTGTTCATACCAGCGTTCCATGTGGACAGTTGGTCAGCTTGATATCAGCCATTTGCTGTCTTTTGTGTCTGAGCCTGTGTGTACTAAGTAGCAACAGACAGAGCCAGCCGTCTTGTTTAAAAAGGAGTCCTTTGTAAACATTAGAGGAAACACACAAGAATAATGTGTTAAAATGGTTTTTAAAAAATGTTTACAAACTGAATTATATGGTTTTTCAGTACCTTTCATGCAAAAGAGGAATGAAGTTTGAAGATGTCCTTTCTCCCTCTAACTTTCTTATAAAATATAATCCACACCCACAGTGCCAAGAAGTAGAGCCTTTTGACTACTTTAAATCAGACTTCTGCAGGCAGAGGAGACTTACCCAGACTGTAATGTATAAAGGAGTCTATACTGGTGAATTGGAAAGACTAGTGTTTCCTTATTGAGACATGCAGGGTTACAAACTAATTGGAAATATGAGATCCCTTCACCTTGTTTTTCTCCACATTTAGTGAGTTTTTCTTGGCTTGAAATATTAAGCCAATTGTCTTGACTCAACAAAGCATTGTGTTCAAAATAGACTTTCTATGAAAATATACTTAGAGGACATCAGGTGGCTTGGACTTGTGTAAATAATGCTTGAAAGTGAGTTAGGAACAAGAACCAAAGTGACTGGCCTCAAATTTCAACTGGATCTTTTCAGTACAGTTCTCATCACTCTGTGTACTACATATGCAAATTGTTTTCATGTTGTTATAATCTGACTTTCCTTTTTGTTGACTCGGTGCATAAGACAGTTCTAATACCTGTAACACTTTTTTCATTGAGCTCAAGAAGTGCTAAGCAATTTTAGAGAAAAATTTCTTTTTACCAAGTCTCCATATGTGTTTGTGTTTCAGGCAGCCCAAGATGGCTTGATAGGGAAGACTTAGGACAGTGAGGACATAATGTATAGGAAGTCACCAGCTATTTGAGTGTGTGTATGTGTGTGTGTGTATGCACATATGAGCTCATTTTAGAAAATAATACAGGAACAAAATAATAATTTAGCCATAATTCCACCTTCCCAGAGATAGCAGTTACCAACATTTGGCATATTTCCCTCATCTTTCCATGTCCACATTTAACTTAGTCATGATGGTCTCATAAATACAATTTGACATCATATGTTGTATATATAATTCTATATCCCCTTTCTTAAACTTAACATCACAACAAAAGCATGTTCCTATGTTTTTAAAAACTCTTTATACCTTGTTTTATATGGCCAGTATTATACTCTACTTAATAAATATCCCATCTTTGTTTAAAAGAACCTCAGTTTTTGAAAAATTGGTGATTTTTAGGTCTTCCTGTTTTTTAATTTTCAGTAATGCCGCATTTTTGTGCAAAGTATTTGTCTGAATTCCAGATTATTTCCTTAGAATACATTTCAAAAGAAGAGGTAATGAGTTAATTAAAAAGTATACTTTTTTTTTTGTTCAATACTCAGAATTAAACCCAGGGGCTCACAACACAACTAGGCAAGTGCTCTAGCACTGAGCTACATCCTCAGCCCATTTTTATTTTTTATTTTGAGACAAGTTCTCAGTAAAGTTGTCCAGGGTTGCCTCAAACTTGTGATCCTCCTACTTTAGCCCCCAGGTAGCTGGGATTACAGGTGTGTACCACTCTGCTGTCTTAAAAGTGTACTTTTAAAGCTCTTGATTTTGGGGGGGGGGGTTGGTACTGGGAATTGAACTCCAGACCTTGTGCTTGTGAGGCAGGTGGCAGCACCACTGAGCTAAATCCCTGGCCCCAAGCTCTTGTTGTCTAGAGAGAGATTTACTCACCCATCTACAAAGGTATGGGAGTGCCTGTTGAAACTCATTTGCTTTTTTAAGCTTTTGTTTAATTGTTATAATCTGATCAATTTAGCTTAATTTATTAACAAGGAAAATGTTATGAATAATCAGTCATAAAGCTTTAGAAATTTGCTCTAAAATATGATTTGTATAAAATTATTATTTTCAAAATAAAAGACAAAATAAGTTTCAAGATATAGCTAAAAAAAACTACCTTTTTCCCTTTAGCCAAAGATTTGAATGCTTAGCAATGTGTCATTTTTTTAAATAAATAAATCAAGTGTGTATGATTTAGAAATTCTTTCCCCAGGGTATCTGGGGCTTAATACTACAGAAAGCTACAAATTCTTAGCAACCAAAAAAATTCATCCCAGTATGATTAGGTATTCTTTTGTCATTGGCATGAACTTCCAAATGTTAAAAAAAAAATGTTGAAATCTTTTATGCTGCTGAGTGTGTAATGGAGTCAAATTCTTGGCTGTAGTGTTGGTGCAAATTGTGTTTTCAAATAACTCTTTTTCTTTCACTTCTGTTTTCCATTCCCTTTCCCTTTCCCTGCCCAATTCTACCTATTACTAGGCAAAATCAAGGGCTTCTGTCCCGGAGAATGATTGTCTCTCCAGAAATGAGATCAGTTTTAAATTCTCTTTTGCTAAGTGTAGCCAGCTGTAGTAAGTACAGTCCCTGAAATTTGCGTGTTGCTTCTTGCATAGCAGGAGTTTTGCTTGCTCTGATTGATAATGGGAAGTTATGAAATCTGACTTTTATGTTAAATGAAAACACTAAAAAACCTGGGTTTACATAGTATGTATTTCCAAAGCTCTTCTTCCAAGGCTTTTTAATCATCTTTACTAAAAGACTTTGAAATTTAAAATAGAACAGCAATCTACTAACTCTCTAACCTATTTTAACCTAATATTGCAACAATGCAGTTTTGCTTATCAGAGTGGTTTGTACAATAGGGTGCACCCATTTGAATATACCACCCAAATATGCCTATCATCTTTAAATGTCACACAATTTTCTGGGTCAGTGCCAATTTATACTTAATTCATAAGCCCTTGGGATGTAAAACACGTGCCTAGAAGCCCCTGCTGCCTTTAAAATGTATTTCTTTGTCCCTGAGAAAAGCAATATATGATTTTAATTCAAAGAAGAAAATACAGTTGTCAAAATATACTTCTTGAAAATTATAAAAAATGACTACCTAACAAATTTTAAAATGAACATGTGTTGAAGATTTTTTCACTTATTAATTAGGAAACTAGCAGATTGATTATGCTGGTTCCAGGAGCATTCAGGGCAACAAAAGCGAGAGTGCTGGAATAAGATTATTAAATTAGATACCAAACCAGCTACTTTCCCACAAGAGCAATAAAACTATAACCCATAATCTTTTCTACTAGATGGAAGTTATTTGTATTTCTTCCCAACAAAAAACTACAGGTTAACATGTAACTTCATACATTCTAGGTCCTAAAGTTAAACAACGGTACCGCTCCCTAGAGAATTAAATAATCCCTTTATAGGCCTGTAAAACAATGTTCTAGTATGACATGGAAAGAACATTCACTTATCTTTTGCTTCATTTCAAGTTTTGGAAAATTTCTTAACAGTGTTTCTTACTAACTTCTTTGAATGGAGTAGTGTTTGGATGGTAGGAACAAAAATGAATACAAGTAGTGACTTCTTTGTTTCCCTTCAATAGGCCATACACAGAGACCGGGCACCTGGGCAGCAGTGCAGATGGAAGCCAGTTGGAGGACGGCCTGGAGAGTAGTGAGCAGAGGCTCTTTTGGCATGAAGATTCAAAGCCTGGAACATTAGTCTGAACTGCAGTTGGACTTCTGGACCTGGCACTGCATTCTCACACTGGTGTGCCTTGCAAAATGTATTCGTCTTCCCAGGAGGCTGTTGGCTTTAGGAACTTAAAGGCATCCGAGGTTGCAGAAATGACTCGCATTGCCCTAGAAAGGAACCACACACTAAGCCCCAAGAGCCCCTAAATGAGGACGTGCCTTTCAAAATCCAGGCACTAACCTGACACCAAGATCTGACCCCCTGTGAAACCCCTGCCAAGAGAGGACTCAGTTTGAAGCCCTTATCTGTAGCAAGCACTTTTGAACGGAACAAAAATTGTCAAAGGCAAACCTCCAATCTGTGAAAGTGTGTTTGTGTGTGTGTGTGTGTGTATGTGGGGGGAGGGGGTCCCCTTGGAAAGAAGGGCAGGGCAGATTTCAGAGCACAATTCAGAATGATGACAGAAGGGAAACCATGACAGAAGCTCCTAAACTGTAGCTCACCAACAAGAAGTTTGAATTTGTGAGCTGACGAAGAATACCATGCTGTTTCTACATGGACTTGGACAATTTAGGCAGTATTGGAAAATTACTTGAAGAGAAGTCAGATTTTCAGGAAGTTTTGAATGAGTGTAAATGTTTTGAGGAGTTATAGTGATGCTTTTCATAAGCACCATAATATGGGTTCTAGACAGACTTCTTGCTGTAGCATCCCGTAATATGACTTTATGGCAGCAGATTGGGGAAAATGAAGCAGCCCACAAATAAGTGACAAACTCTGCTTGTACTTTTCCCATTCCCAGGTACCTTATCCCTGAGCTCCTGCTTTCTTTCTCCACCACTTGCATGATGAGCTGCTACTCAGACTGGTCACTCTCTACCTTGGTTTCACTTGAAATGGCAGAGTTGGTGGGGAAAGTTGTCACAATCATGAGTTTGGAAAAGTATCTTAAGGTGGTACAAAAAGGGGCCCAAACGACAACAAAACAAAGCTACATAATTGTAAATGGATTGTGTGCCTTAAAATGGTGAACATTAGAAAATTCAACATAATTGTCTGGATTCCACGAGTAGTTGTGAGTCACCAAGTGACAAAAACAAGATTAGTATTTTTAAAAAGACTCCAAGCTGCAGTGGATTGGATTATGAGGCTAACACTACCTCATACTTTCCTTGGAAGAACTGATGAGCTATGGTTTTGTTTTCTTTTTCTTTTTTAGAACAAATTATTTCCTTCTTCCGGATTGGTCTTTGTCATCTTGACTGCTTTAGAATTCCATGAAAGGTGCTTCTGGCCCCGTCCCCTTTTATACAAGTTACTTGTTCATATTGTGAATAGAGAAGTTTCTGAACAACTTTTTTGAACACCGTTTTCTATCTGTATTCCAAAGCATGTAATATATACATAAAAATGATTTGTTAAACTGGTCCTTACTCATTTGTATCATTAGAAATGAAGTTTGGGGAAAATTTTTGGGAAAAAAAGCCACAAGCAAAAAAATAACTTATTCCTTTTTGCATATTTGTATAGCCTTCTAGAAACAGAAATACCCTTTTGCATATTCTTTTACTGTTCTGATTGTTTCAGACCTATTATTTTTTTACGTAGTTCAATAAACTCAAAGCGTGCTACTGAAAATGTGTATGTATTCTTCCATATATACTTAGGGTTCAATGAAGCAGTTTGAAGGGCTCCACTTTAAGTAATGTGTTGGGTCAGATATCAGATTTTTAGTTACAGAGTTACCATATTTTATTCATTTCAAGATAGACTTTTTTTCATATTTACATCTGAAAATAGGGTTCATCTTTTGAGTGTTGACAGGTCCTAGTCAGACTGGCAGTGTTTTTTCCTTTCTTAGTGATACATAAAATAATGCCATGTCTTACAATAAAGTTGTTTTAGAATTGATGAAATACAGCAATTTATTGCCTCCCTCCCTGAGGATGACTGATGAGAATTTTTAGGTTTCCTAATCTTGGTAATGTTGTTTACTTGTAAAAAGTCATTCATCCTACTTTCACAGACCAGCTTAACAGCCCTTTTAAAATTCAAGAAAACACTTCATTTGACATTGTTGTAATCCTGTTCATTGGAGTCAGGAATTGAATGCAGGGAGAACTTACATGAATATTTCTGTACATGTATCTTGCATGCAAATAACATTTTCTTGTTCAAAAAATGGTCAGCTCAGGACTGCCTGTATGCCTTGAAAGAGCAAATAGAAGTTGGCTCCAAAAGAGGAAAGAAGCCATAGGAATGTAAGCCTAGCAGGCTGCCATATAACTGTCTCCTGCCTTTTTTTTTTTTTGTAAATCTCTGTATATATATAGGTAGAAGTATGTTTATTAAAAACCCAAAAATGGCACACACCTGTAATCCGAGCATTCTAGGAGGCTGAAACAAGATCACAAGTTTTATCTCAACCTGGATAAATTAGTCTCTTAAAAAGATCCTGTCCCCAAATAAAGGCTGAGGATATAGCTCAGTGCAAAGGCCCTGGGTAAAATTCCTAAGATTGCAAAAAAAAAAAGGGGGTCAAATTATCCAATATATAAACGACCACTTTTTTATTACAAAATATCCTAAACTCTGGTAAAAATTGTAAATGTAAATAAGAAATACATAAGATAAAAAAGTAATAGTGGTCTTGTAAACCTAACCCTCCCTAGGTAGAATAAATGTGAATTTATTATACATTACTTTAGATTTTTTTTCTGTGCATACAGCAATGCTTTAATCTAGCATCCCAGTACAGGTACAGTTGTAGAGCAAGGATTTTTTCCTAGTACATCTTTGGCCTCATTCTGTATCAGCACATACTGATCTGCCTCAGAAAGATATATGTTCTACAAGGTGGATTTTAAAATTGCCTCACCTTCCTTGATATCTTTTTTTTCTATATTTGAAAAAAAATTCTTCAGAACTCTTCCTTTTATTCACAAAAGCTTAAATGTTATAGGCAACAAAGATCCTGGACTGTTTTAAACTACTAGTTTGGCCCATTCTTAGGAACAAAGTTTCAAAGTAAGGAATTTTCTCAAATATTAGTTCTAAAAGAGCTCTCACAAGTGAAATAATGACTTTCTTCAATGCAATACACAAATTTAGATTTCTTCTTTCCTCCCAACACTGGAAATTAAACCAGGCCCTTTTTAGATATTTTTCATTTTAGGAGTATCTCACTAAGCCACTAAGTTGCCCGTGCTGGGGTGATCTTCCTGCCCCAGGCTCCCAGGGTGATGGGAAAACAAGTGGGTACTGTCCCACCTAGCTTGGATTATTTTCCATAGAGCAATGCTTCTCAAACTATTCTTAGTAAAAGACCAGCTTTTTAAATTTCCGATCCATTGTAAACCTATGGTTTTGTAAAATGAAATAAACTGAATTATTAGGAAAAAAATTAATCCAGAAAAGAGTAAAATTCTAGATAATCAAGATATGAAAATATACATGTTTATTAGATTCTGCATACATAGGACTACTCTGCCAAGTTGTGATCTCTAAGCACTGACTCTGTTTCTGTGTTTCCCTCGAAGAGTTCTAGTGATCGAGTTTTCAGACCACCTTGCAGTAGCACTGAGCTGGAGCACCCACTGAGGAGGGAAGGGCTTCACCCATGCTTGGCTTGGTAACCAGGTGGGGCCGTGGTGGCTCTTTATAATCTTACAGGGCATGGAGACACATTTCCACAGAGAAAAAACTTTTGGACCCCAAGTGGGATGATAATGCAAAACTTAACTCATCTTTCAGTTCAAGGTTTGGCCGGCCCCTTAATCCCCTGTTTTCACCATTATCCCTTTCCCTTGGACTCCCCCATGTCTTTTCTCCTACAGTTTATCCTTGTGCCACTCCAGGGTAGAAAGAGAAAAAGCATGTCCTACCTCAAAAAATGAGTTTGCATTTGTTCAGTTCTAGCTCTACATGTGTGCAAAGGTATGCAAAGGGCCAGTGTGCAAAAGTGTTTTATGTGCACTTGGTCATTTCATTACCACAACAGGGCAAGGGGGTGCGGAGTGTTACAAAATCTCCACTTTACAGATAAAGAATCAGAATTGCCAGTCACGTAAAACACCAAAAGTGATGCCATTATTTGGAGAAAAGCAGGATATAAATCCTGACCTCTCAAACTCCACATCCTAAACTACTGCAGGTTGAGCATTTCTGATCCAAAATCTGAAATTTTTGAGTGTTAACACGATGCCCCGAGTGAAAAATTCCAAGCCATGAAGCTTTGTGTCCTACACACAATTATTTACAAGACTATATAAAATTACCTTCAAGTTACACATTTAAAATATATATGAAACATTAGTGAATTTCATGTTTAGACTTGGGTCCTCTTCCAAATATATTATGTATATAGAGCTATGGCAAAAATCTAAAAAATTACAAAAATCAAACATTTCTGGCCCCAAGCATTTTGGATAAGGGGTATTGACCCTGTAATGCCTCCTTGAATAAGTATTTTCTACAAATAAACTTCTCCAAGAGTGGCAAATATACTTTTTTAATGGATTAATGAAATGAGTGAATACATGCTAAGCCAGCTCTTCTTATTCATTATCACTTAAAGATAACAGACCTAATTTCCTTTCATTTACCAGCAGCAAAAGGGCAGAGCCAGGCCTATGTACAAACATAGGTCAAGATAACCTCTAGCTTGAAGGCTACCTTGTCTCAGGTGGCTGTCCACCTGAATTATTCATTTCTGGATGAGCTTATTGTGGATCAAGTACATTTCTTCAATTGTTTTCTAGTCAATAAAATGTCTTACCCCAGCAAATATACTTGTTACGATCACAGATAACCATAATGAACTAAGTATTGATTAGTAGCACTGAAACTATTGATGGATCCTTTCCCATTTTTCATTGTTCAGGGGCAGTATGATAACATGAAATATGATATGTGCTGTGACAACGCCCTGATAAGCTTCCTTGGGATGCAGCTCTCTGATGCTAGTGTTTGTAGGCTTTGGAAACAGTAAGTCTGAGATGAGTTTTCCAGTAGAGTCCTAGCCTGCCACCAGCATCCTTGAAACACCTCTCTCTGGGATGATTCAGTGAAGGACTGTACTCCTGGTGGGAGAAAACGGGAAATGCTATGCGCAAGATGTGTTCTGGCGATACTTATCTGATCTCTGTTCTTAACATTAGCACACACAAACAAGTTCTCTCCATTCCCTTTGCTTCCCAGTATCAGCAGCCTTGGCAAGAATGGTGCTCTGAGACTGGAAAGAGGATGGGCATAGACCCCGCTTCTGAGTTTCAGATAATTTTCTTGAATGCTTGTCATTCATGAAGTGCCCAAGGTTTACAAGGCCTGTGATTTTCATCTGCACTGCAGCACTCCATCGGGGCTTTTGGAAATACTTTTTGAATTCTCCCACTGATGGGGAGTGCAAACTCCATTGAGGAGGCCAGGAACATTAAGCCTACTGCAGTGTGTGAAATTGTCCCACACACAGTTTGATTACCCAAACTACCCAAAGTACCTTCCTGGAGAAAGTCCGGAGGCTTCTCTGGGTGCTGTGTTTCTGTGTTTAAAAGAGATTTTTCATTTTGGAGGGAGAAAGAAGGTAAGTGAAGGAAACAACTGCTGGTGAACATCAGGAAAAATTGCCCGTGATTTTTTTTTCTGGTGATTTTTTAAAACCATGTATCTAACACATATCAGGATACCACCTCTGGGCGCATGAGCTGCTGTCCCAGGCTGTGAAGATGGAAGATGAATGGACTCTGTTTCCTCAAAGCTTACTGTCTGGTTAGGGAGAAGCAGAAGGAAAGTATTTGAATAGCTTGATGTGATTGGTAATCCTTGAAAGCCACGCATGGTGAGAGAGAATAAAGGCGGGTGTGATTGATATCTGGGACTCATGGGACAGAGTGGTTCCCTTTGGGGAGGTGATGCTTAAGCCTAGACTTGAGTTTGGCTCAGGAAGATCCAATTAAGCAAAAAGAATAGATGCTCTCTAGAGTTAAGAAAACACCAGGTGGCATTCGCCAAGGCTGTGAAGCCAGAAGAAGCAGGGCCACTTATAGAAACTAATGCAATGTGAGGCCCAATTGTGCCATATTCAAGAAATCAGGGTAATATGGAAGAAAGCTGCCATTTTTGAACTCTCACTGTATTCCAACAGTGGGTAGTGTTACCATGCATTGCCTCATTTAAACCTCCCTATGACTGTGCAAGAGAGAAGGTCTCATCCCCAGATGAGGATGTAGAGAGAGTGGCTCAGGAAGATCACCATCTCATGGTTATGTGATCACACATGAAATGGTAACACTAAAATCCAAACCTGTGTCACAGTCCACATCTCAAGCCCTTTAGCCATTATGACAGTACCCAAAAAGCAATTGTTAAACCAGGTATACCAGTGCATTCCTATAGGCCCAGCTACTCAGGAGGCTTAGGCAGGAGGATCACTTGAGCACAGGAGTACCAGGCCAGCCTGAGCAACACAGCAAGAAGTTGTCAAAAAAAAAAAAACGTTCACCACATATCTGTCTTAAATGGAAACCAGTAAAATTGAAAAAGGAAGGGAAGGAGCAAACAAAAGACTTTCCTGAGGAGGGCTAGAAACCAGGTCAGCAGGGCAGAAAAAGGATAATGTAGACCAGGCAGGTTTCCAAAGC